GGGGTCCTTGGGGGGTTCGGAGGGAACCCGTCTTGGGGCGTTCGTGGGCCCTCTGAGGGCCTCTCGGCGCCATGTTGGGCCATCCTCGGGGCTCCAGCGCCTCGCCCCCCCCCCTCCCCCCGCTCCCAGGCCCAGAGGAGGGGGGAGGTGGAGGGGTCCAGACACCCGCCTAGATAGAAAACCGTCTAGCTCACTCCCACCCGCCCTCCCCAACACATCAGTAACACCCGAGCCTCAGCATGTGCAGCGGCCGTCTTTTGGGTGGACAGCTACTGGGAACCAGAACCGAGCCCATGTGCGCGAGGCTGGGGCGAGGTGCGCCACGCGTGCCAGGCGCGCCACGCGCGCCAGGCGCGCACGTGCGAGTGTGTCAGGTGCGCCTGCGCACGTGACAGCACACATCGGGAAACAAGTCGGCCCCCACCATCCATGTCGAAAATGAATGCCCATCATTGTGTTTGGTGGGCCTGCGCACAGCAGGCCATACGCCACCACTTGGCAATGATCGCGGGGTGGCCGCGCACGACCCAGATTTAGCCGCGAGGTGCATGTTGTCATGTGTGTACGTGTCAGGAATGGTAGCCCTGCGCGCAGCTAGCAATATGCTGATATCCCAGCCGCCCCTGTCAACAAAAACAATTCAAAGTGCTCGCGGGCCACACGAACATGACTCCAGACTTTGTCCCACAGTGTACTTTGTATTATCTTTTGACAGGGATGGGGGGGGGGCCTCAGGGGGTCCTCATTGTTCCTGGTTGGCTGCCAGCCGCCTGGGGGAGGGGGTGTGTATTAATTAACAGTGATAAACGATAAACCCCTCCCCCGAGCAGGGGAAGGAGGGATGTTGACAGAGAGAAGACAAAACTCATTTAACCGCCTACGCCGGGAGGGCTGGTGAGATTGGAGTTGGTTGGATGCTGGGTCTGCGAAAACGTCCTTGGGGCCGCCCCCATCAGGAAAAGCTGAAGTTCGTGCACGTGTCGCGCGTGGCGCGCGCGTGCGAAGCAGTGGGCGAGCTCCAAGCAGATCGCCGGGTCGAATGGGAGACACACGTCGCGCTCCTACCACGGCCGCTGCTCCATCGGGCGGCGGGCGCCGTGGCCCGGCCTGGTGTTTCGGCGATGTCCCGATGCTGTCCCGATGGGCTGCTGCTGTTTTTCCTGGTGTGTGTGTGTGTGTTTTTGTTTTTTTGTTCTGTGCTCGCCGGCTGTCGCCCCGAAAATGTGTGGCGTGCTCCCTCAGCTGGGCTTGCCTTACAGTGGGGGCCCATGCCAAGAAACACCCTGCTTGCCTCCAGGGTGGCCTGGGTGTCTTGGGTTTCGACGAATTTTTACACGGAAAGCGTGACGCTCCCACGCCAAAAGTCAATGGACGTCCTGGGGTCTCAGGGTTGGGTTTATTGCGGAAGGTTTCTTGTGGACTTGCCTCCACTATAGGGGTTGGGGTTCGTTTTTGAAGAACCGGCGGGTGCGACGGTTGCGCAGGTCGGCATTCGCCAGGGTTGCCCTGGTTTCCCAGCCTGTCTCGGGTTGCCCAGCCTTCCTCAGATGTTGCCCGAGTGCCCAGTTGCCCGTGTGCCCAGCTGTACGGATTGCCCGGTTGTCCGGTTGCCAAGCAGTTCAATGAAATGCAAAACCAAGCAATGCCAGGCAAAGCGAGGCAACACCAACTAACGCAAAGCAGCGCCAAGCAAATCCAGGCAATGCGAATCAATGCAAAGAAATGCCAAGCAACGCAATGCATTTCAAAGCTATGCCAAGCAATGCCAACCAATGCCAAGCAACACCTAGTAGTGCTAAGTAATATCGAGCACGTCCAAAGAATGCCAAGCAAAGCAAAGCATCGCCATGCTGAGCCAAGCAATGCAAGGCAAGGCCAGGCAATGCGTTTGCCAAGAATTATCAAGCAAAGCAATGCCAAGCAAAGCAAATTAATGCCAAGCAACGCAAAGTAATGCCAAACAATGCCAAGCAATGCGAAACAAGACCATGCAAAGCAAAGCAAAGCCAAGCAGCGCCAATCAATCCAAAGCTGTGCAGCGCAACGCAAAACAGAGCCAATCAACGCCATGCAGCACAAAGCAATGCCGAGCAACGCAACGCAAAGTAATCCAAAGCAACTCTGTCCCTGCTTATCTGCTTGGTTACTTACTTGGGAAGCTTTCCCCTGAGTTGGGTCGCGCTGGGTTACTGCCTTGATATTTTGTTATGTGGTGTTTCTTGGGTGCCTCGAGTGTGCTCGTGGCAATTTCTGTGGTCTCCCGAAGGGGTCTGATGTGATTTGCGGATACGTTGTGGCGCGATGGGGTCCCAATGATTGTCTCGTTGTACATTCAATCGGCTTTATTGTTGCATTGAGCGATGTCGAATTAAATTGGAGCGGAACGAAATAGTTGAATGTTGATAAAGGATGTGATGAAATGAGCCGAAGAAGTTGAGTTTGCCAGTTGGCCCCATCGGATGTATCAGCGCGTTGGATTTTCTGATGTGTCGAAGTCGGTCTTTGGAGTTCCGATGCGGTGGTCTAGTTTTGCCGTGTTGCGCCTTGTCTTGTATCTTCGTCCTCCTCTTCCTCCTCCTCCTCCTCCTCCTTTTCCCACTGCCCACCCCCAGCGCTCGTAATCCTAGTTTCGCCATGGTCATCATCGCCATCACCCCATTGCCGCTGGCATTTTGGCTCAAACCCATGGCCTTGCGGTTCGCTCGTGACCGCAACGCGGATCGGGTGTTTCTGGTGCTCGGCGGCCCCATCTCCGCATCGGCCTGATGCCCCTCGCGTCGCCCCCACTGATCGCGCCCAGCTCGCCACGGCCATGACCGAGGTGAAAGCAGCACGCAAGCACGCCGATGCCACTTCTGAGCAGCGAAAGGAGATCTCGGATGTTACATACGTTTCTTCGGGAGGAGGTGGAGGCTCAGAAGACGAGAGCGCTGCCGATAAGGCCATCACTCCATCCCGAGCCGAGCCCACGTGCGGCAGCAGAATTAATCAGTCGTGGCAGAGGTTAGGCAGCGAACAGGGCCCGTCCCGGCGGCGTTGGCAGCTGGGGCCCTTTCCCACATGGCAGCAATGTGAAGGCGATTTCAGCGGGAGTCTGGCATGAGGGCATTCGCGAAGTTTTGAATGGATCCGCCATTCTCGTTCTTGCCGCGCGAATGGCTGAGGATACTCGGCATGCCAGCGGTGGAAGCCCGGCCCACCGCCCGAGGAGCCGACGTCCGTCGCCTGCTGGCCCACGCTCGAGCCCCCAGGGTCCTGGGGCGCAGGCGCCTGGAGATCGCAGCCCGCACGACGGCACCCTCGCGCGCGCGTGGCTGCCTCGAGGAGGCGCGCCTCGTCACGGGGAAGGGGAGCCGGGGATCGCCTGTTCCGCCCCCTCGCTGCAGCGACACCATCCTCCGTCGCAGCCGGGAGTGCCAGAGGCCCCTTCGGCCGCATCCCTCGGTGCGGTGCTTCTTGCCAGGCGTTGTGTATCTGGGAGCCCCACGGCCGCAGGGGGTGGTCTGCTCCAGTGGCCCTCCGGAAGGAGCTGTCCGAGCATCATTCTCCCTGGGCGCTCATGCAGACAACGACGCCACTGGGCGTGGGGTCTTGGCCTGTTTCGCG